TTCATTGCCTCTGTTTGTATGGAAAGCAGGGAGGTGAAATGGAAGACTGAGGCTCACATGTGCTCGTTACATCTGAATTGGGCCAGTGTGTTTACACTGTTTAATTTTCAAATTCAGGAATTCCCTGTTGTGTACAAAAGGTACATAATGCGCTTTTGACAAATTATCATAGTAGCACACAAAGGAGAGCTCTGGATGAAAGAATTTTGTTGTTGTCTTATTGACCTTTTCCTGTCATAATCAGTACAAAGTGAAAAATGAATACTTGTGGAATGATCTGCCAGCAAACACACCACTCGAAAATGACCATAACTTGGTCATTTCATTTTTCACTTTCCCTATCACCTCCTTTTTCCTTCCCTTTCAATTTGTGTAAATTTGGCATCCAAAGAGTACAGTGTTCAAAAACTAATCTTCTTGAATTCCTCTGAAATATGTTATATTGCTCTTGGACAAGAGTGCTTGTATGTCAGGAAAGGTAGCTATAACAGAATGTCATTAAGGTGACATATTGTAAATTAATACAGTTAATGGAGGTTTTTATAACAGAATGACCCCACCCCCCAGCCCCTCCAAGATAGGGTGATAGTTGAATTAATGGATATCAGGGGACCAACTTTTTGGGGAAAAAACCCAGCAAGAGGAAGCAGAATGGAAGCTTTAAAACCTTGCACTGAATTATATTAGAACACCGAAAATGTCTGTATTGGATTTGATTTCAGAGGGAGGCCATAAAATGGTGTACTTCTGGCAAAACATATTACACTGAAATGTCAGATTTGAGGCTTATGGTCTGTAATTATGATAGTGTTAATAGTCGTCTTCTATAACACAAAGCCATACTTCTGAAGTTTAATTTTTCAGCAGCTTGAATTTGTCTCAAGCTTGTAAATTAGAAAATGCATTTTGGCATTTTCCTCCTCATACAAAGACATAACACATGTAATACTATTAACAATACCTTTGGGTTTTAGCATAGCTATTAAAATAAACTAGAGATCATATTTAAAGGCACAGAATGTCTGTTATTTTTTGTCCCTTTAAAACTCACTGATAGCTTTATTACATTGTTCTTTATATATATAACAAGGCATATGATGACATTATCTGAGTAGGTCCCATTGAACTTATGGGCATGTGTAGAATTGCAATCAAAGCTACAAATACTACTTGAAACATAAATGCAATGTCAGTAATCAAAATCTTAAATATTTAAGCATGTTAGGGAATACAGGTACTGAAAGGGATACCAACTTGTGAAAATACATATATTGGATCATTTAATTTGACTTGTTTTAAAACTATATATAATGCCATGTTTCAGAAAGATAAATTCAAAGTAGCTTATGAAACAAAACATCATTCAATATGTAAAATATATATAGCAATAACAGCTGCTGAAACAATAATAAGAAAACAATATTAACATAACTAAAAGATGCAGTCTCTTTAGGAACATAAAAAGTTACTGTCCAAGAACATAGATTGTTTTGTTAACATTCACATTCTAGAGCTACTTTCATGATACGTAGAAAGCCAGTGTGGTGTAGTTGTTGGAATGCTGAACTGCAACTTAGGAGATCTGGGTTTGAGCCTCCACTGAGCCATGAAGGTCACTGATGACTTTGGGTTAGTCAATGTCTCTCAGTCTAATCTACCTCATAGAATTGTTGTAAGGTCAAAGTGGAAGGTGGGAGGGTTATATGGGCTACCCTGGGTTCAAATTATAATAAATAAATGAATGAATAGCACACAGCATATAAACTTGTAAGTTAGATGTTGGCATGATTTAAATGAATTAAACACTTGAAAACCCCCGTTTTAATGGAAGTATTGAGCTTCATGGTTTTATATCTATCTGTCTGTCTGTCTGTCTGTCTATCTATCTATCCATCCATCCATCCATCCATCCAGAAATAAGTTCCTGTTGGCTCAGTGGAAGATACTCCCAATCTGGGTGACGAGGGTGGTGGGCAGGAGGAGCACAGAGGCAAAGGTTGCTTTCAGCTCCTCCCACCCCGCAAAGCCACTTAAGTGCAATGCATCGGAGGGGGAGGGAAGGAAGCTAAGGCCTCACCAAGGTAGACGCTATCTTGACAACACCAGTCTCCTCCTCTGTCCACCCCACAACACCCCCACAAGCCTATCGCCATGGTTATTCTTTTCATGTAGGCTGTGAGGATTGAACATGCTATGTTTAACAGCCATAGGATTACTCTGCCCATCTCTCAGATGTTTAAAGATGCTCTCATACATTCAGATTAACAGGAATTTAATAACAGTGAACTCTAGCACTGTCTTGATACAGCACATGTCACACATTGTGTATCCTGCAGGCAACTTCTGCAAATGCAGAACATCTCTGTACTTAGATGGCAGTATATGACTTTCCCTGGCCTTTATTAGCATGATGTGCCTAAGGACCAAATTATATTTCAAATTATATCTATACTCTTAGCATTCCAGTGGTAAGCAGAGCTGGTGGCAAAAGTGTGGGGCCAAAAACAAACAAACCCTCATATATCAGCAGAATGTAGCTAACTCTCTTGCCACCAATAACCAGTCCTTGGAAGAGGCATTTCGGTATTTTAGAATGGGTGAAAACTGCAGAAATGGTTGGAGAAAAGTGGATGAGGTGAGAGGGAAGGAGTTTGGCCTTTTGGGGAAACACTGGCCTGTGGTACCGCATCCCAACTGTGACAGCAGATTTCCCAGCTGTCAAGCAGAGGACTGCCCAAAGCCTTCTATTTGAGAGGCTTCTCAGTTGAAGCACATGCTTGACCACTGAGCTGTCATCCCTTAGAGAAAGCAACACTTTCACCACAAGATCCTTGGCAGTAGATATGCATCACCCAGTATAAAGCAGTGCTTGAATTACAGGCTGTGACCATCTTCTTAGTTACTGTCTCTGTAAAGGCAGCTTTTGGCTGAAATGGCAGAGGGGTGGTGTTTGTGGGATCAATGACCCTTCTGGCATCTTTCACCCGACCATTCAAGAAGTTGTGCAGGTGCTGACAGGGAGTTCTGCTCTTCCCACAGCAGAGTCACAAACGCTGCAGTTTATTTTCAATTAGATGGCTACCGTTCATTTATATGAGAGTAAGTGGAGCAGTGCATGGCGTTGAAGAATTTCCATGGTGACCTCAATGCCTATGCTGAAGGAGAGACTTGGGCCCCTCTCAAAAGTGTTCAGTTATGTTCTTGCACAGGTAACCTGACTCTGAATGAGTTTCTAAGATTTCATTTTTTTTACTGTAGTTCTCCATGCCATATCCTAGTCTGTACCTTAAAGGCCCCTCTCTGATATTCAGGAAAGGTTATTTGTAGAGAGAGAGCTGCAATGGAGGAAGGAGTGTGTGAGTGGTTTCCCACTGACTTAACTTTTAAAATTTTATTTATTGACTTTTCAAACTACCTACTAACCAATATTTTCAGGATGGTGTACATGACATGGTATTTGGCAGGGTGTTGGGAGCATGATTCTGCTGGAAAGTAAGTCTTGTGTTCCCTTTGTGCCATTTTTCAAGCTGAATCTTCAAAGGGGTGGCTACTTCTACTAGCAGCTTCCAGGTGTAGGATTCCAAGCATTTACAAAGAGGTATTAGGTTTATGAATAAAGATTTAGCTTATTTAGTATATGGAAACTGCTAAGAATTAGTTACAAGCCTGGTGTAAACATTGAGAATGAGAGACAGAGGAGGGAGAGCAGGACAAAAGCATCATAATTTATGTAAAAGGAAGAAAAGATGACAGAATGAGGAGGAGGAGAAAAGTTAATTTGTAGGTTTGGTCTTGATGAAGTGGATCCCGCAAGCAAGTCAGAAGCATTTAGGTATGGCAAGTGGTCTGGAGTGTACAGAAAGGACAGGAAGGGTTCCGTCAGGAACAGGAATCCCAAAGACAAGGTCAGTCAGAGGCAAGTATGTCAGGACTCCATCTGGAGCCTTGGCACAAATTAACTTGTTCTAACAAAAGCTCAGCTTGGAGCCCAACACTCTGCCATGTTTTCAAGAGGTTTCTTTTTTCCCCCCTCAGCTACATATTTAGATTTATTTATTTATTGCATTTCAATACCACTGAATAGTGAAAGTGCTCTGGGTGTTTTAGAATATTTCTGTTGCTCAGAAGGTGCAAGATGGCACCCCCTTTCCTGCCTCTTTGTACCCAAAATTTCCACTGTGAAAAACAAAGAGTAGGACAATGGAATGGCAAGCTGAGTATGATAAACTCATAGGACACAGAAAAAAGAGGAGACTAGTTTGAGAATATGAAAATCTAAGAACCACTAAGTAATCATTTGGAGCAAGCAGGCCAACAGATTATGAAAAGTAGCCAAGTCAAAATGGGGCATAATATGTGTTACATAATAAATATGTATGATTTGAGATGCAGTTTTCATCTGGAGAGACACAATTTTACCAACACAAACAAGTTTTATTGTTGTGGAAGAAAATGGATTAGTCAGGAATGCAATGTGTTTTGGGTTTAAAAGCTGGTACACCAAAACTGAAACTGGACAGCATATTCATATGTCACCTAAAGACCTAGCTTCTTCTGATTTTCACAAATATATCTTGCTCTTGGCCAGTTTCCATAGTGTTGACACTGAAGATTGAAAGTCCCAGCTAGGCAATTGAGTAAAATATAAGAAATACCCTGTTCCATTAAAAAAAAACCCAGTAAGATTTTTTCTATGCAGATATCACATTTCTGAGAATAATTTTTTAATCTAATGGAGCTTGTCAATGCAAATGTCTCTGTTAGACTTTATAAGGTCACTATATGTATTAATATACCAATGATTTGTATTAAAATGTAACAAACTGAAATAATGTAATAGCAGCTTTTGACATTGAAAACTAGGTTATAAAAGGTGAGGTTAAAAGAGTTCTTAAATTATTTCTGTATATACAAATAATACAGAGCTGAGTTTGGAAAAGTAGTACCACAAAGGCAATAAAGTGATTATGTAGTAATCACAGTTGTTTCTTCCACTACAGGAATTAATTCCAGAATTTTACTACCTACCAGAAATGTTTGTCAACAGTAATGGATATAACCTTGGAGTCAGAGAAGACGAAAACGTTGTGAATGATGTGGAGCTTCCCCCTTGGGCAAAGAAGCCTGAAGACTTTGTGCGTATCAATAGGATGGTAAGGAGGATTTTTTCACACTTTCAAACTAGTGCAGGGTTTTTAAACACTAACAAATCCCTTATCTTCATCGCCATCGTGCAATATTTGTAAATATAAAGAAGGAAAAGGTGATGATAAAGGTAGCTGATTGCACTTATTCTGTAATAAGAGTGGATCCATCCAAATGAAGGACTCCTAGCATTACCAATCAATAAACATTATGCATCCATTTCATCAAACCACATTTTTTGCTGGTAAGAAAAACATGAAAGAAGCAGAGGGAAAAAGTAGGGTTACAAATTGATGATGTTGACATCTGGAAACACTGTAACATTCTGTGAACAAGGCAGGACAATTATAGAATAAAAGCCTTGTCTGGAAGCACCTAGTGTTCCATTATATACAATGGATTTTAATGGACTTTCCTTTAATGGGGACTTATATTTCTGATTGTGCTGTGTTTGTATCTTTACTTGCACCTTTACTAATGCCTTTATTGTGAGTGCATATCTGTAAAAAGCAGGACAGAAAAATATTTAATGAATGAATGAATGAATGAACATAATGAAATGGAGAACAGTGCTTGGATGGAAAACCATTGGGCGCTCCATGTATTTCACTGTGCGCTTTCTAAAGACAGAACAACATATTAGTATTCATTTCTTATAATCTAAATTAGAATTTGTGAGCCCTAGCATTTAATAAGAATATTTAGAAGTGCTCATTAAGGTGCACTCCAGCAATTCAGAGCTACTTTCTCTCTGCATAAATCAACACATTTGAGAGGCTGTTCACAATGTATCCAGCCGTGTAACCCTTAACACACATTTCCTTCTATAAAAGAAAGTGCTTTCTTAAGTACCTTTATGTCCACACTAGATTTTCATATAAATATTACATGTTAATAGGCAATATTCATCTTGCAAGCTTCTCACTAAGCAGCACAGTCATTCTCTGAAATTTGGGCAATACATTTGCGACTGACTGAAATGGCTACCATGGCATCCTATGGAAAACAGTATTAGGAAGTAGAATGCAAAGCTACTTGGCACTGGGGAGCTGTCCTTGTTGCTCTTTCCCAAATATTTCACCACCAAAATGACCATGCAAGATGACTTTGTGCTTGACACAATAGCTGATGGATCTTAGACATAGGGCATACACTTTGTATGCAGCAAGGGTCAGTTTTAATCCTTGTTATCTCCAGCTTTAGGACAGACAGACAGACAGCAGAAGATTAAAAAAGCCCTCTTTCTTTCCTGAGATCTGAGATCCCAGTGGCATGCTGCCCATGGAAGCAGATAGTACTTAGGCTCCTAGGGGCTTCCTATGAAATAAGGCAGCTTCCTGTGAGGCAGCTTCCTGTGAAATTTAACTGGAAACATTTGATATTCTCTTTCCTCTTAGCAGAAAAACAGTGGCTTTTTCAGCACCCCTAAAGGTACAATCCTATGAACATTTAGGGGGAAAATTTCCCATTATCCCCCACTCAAATGGATTGCCTGAAATGTACTGAGAACTTAATTCTCTCTTTACATGTATAGGATTGCACTTGATGCTTGAATATTGATTTGAGTCTGAGTGTGAAGTACAGAATCCTGTACTCTGACCATTGCACACAGGACCTACCCAATATCTCTGTAAGGGCTGGAGATATTGTTAATGCCTATCTTTTACTAATATAAAGGACTATGTTCATACATTACTGAAATGAGACAATTCAGGGTGGAATTTTCAGTACCTTATTCCTTGGTAAATTTACAGTGTCTGTATGAAACAGTTAATAATACTGTATATATAAAATATATAGGAAAGTTCATTTTATCCATGGCACAGTGTTAGGAATTGGCTACTTTTCATCATTCTTAGTATGAACCTTAACAAAGTCTAATGCTTTTCTCAAAAATGAATGAAAGATACAACCTCTGAGGTTTCCTTTTGCTTGGATTTTCATTGATGAATATTTGGAGAAGTTTATGTCTGCCAAAAAAGTCCATGTGCTCCACAAATCACAAGTGCATGATGGTAGTTTATGGCCAAACCCAACAGCCTTATTCCAGACAGTCTGCTTACTTGATGGGTCATTATGGGTTTTCTGTTTGATTCCAATTAGTATTTTGCTGTCTCTTGAGTCCCAGTCTTTGTGAAAAATAAGACCTGAGCTAAGTGGTCACTCATCCACCACTCCACACACCATGTTCCCAACACCTCATATTCCGCCTCTTTGCCAAAACATCATTATGATGGCATAGCATTTGAGCTAACGTTCATTTCCACTGATGTAGCAATGCTGCTGTGCTGTCATAGCTTCCCCATGACAAGGTTACAACAACATAAGGGCATTTTGTAGCAATTCTATCCCCGTCTACTGCCTGTGTGGTATAGATTGCATCACAATTCTGAAAACATAATTCAGTTGGAATCTGAGCTTTCAACATTTTTAAATCTTACTCAATAAGCCACAAGAGCATCTGCTTGGTTGTATGTCCACTGGGTATCTTCAGGGATAATCTGCCATTGCAATTCACTAAAACAAATTCTTAACCCTGAAGAGTGTTCAAACCAGCAAGCTAATAAGGGTAATAAGGGTAATAGTTGATAATACAAATAATAGCAATTACTTCTATTGAATAATCTGTTCAATGGTCATCAGAGTCCTTTACTAAAATATAATGTTATAGTAACTGGGCTATGCCATTCCAAAATAGAACAAAGCATAAGTAGACTTACCTACCACTGTAGTTACAGTGCTGTAATTTCTAAATTTCTAAGGAGCTGAAAGGTTGATTACAGACCTAGGAAGAAAATATAGATTGTTTAAAAAATAGGCAATGTCCATATAATCCATTGTATGCCTGTGTAATCTGAAATCTGCATTTGGTTCCTTTATGGTCTTGCAGTTTATTGCATGTGAGAAATAGCACGTGTTGATGATCACTGGCTCAATACCTTTCCTCATAAATTAATTGTGTGTCTGTGTCTGTCTTTATTCAAACTGCTTATACATTCATAGAAGCTTTGTATAATAACAACACTGTAGCATTGCATGATGAATTACTCCCACCTAATTTAGAATTAAACAAGTTACATATTATTGCCAAGTAAATGAGAGATTGTTTTATGTTTTATAAATATATGGTGTGAAAGAAAAATAGCCTCTCATTGAAAGAAATTTCTGTGAGAATTGGTCTCATTAGAAAGGCTGGAGAAGTGATTAAGTCAGGTAAGTTTTAGGAGATGTTTCAGTAGATTTAAGAGCATTCAATTTATACATCAGTGATTGTTGGCCCAGTTTAATTTATCCATAGCAAGCTAGACTGATTACTACTGACATACCCATGAAACATTAATAAAGCATTGTGTTCAATGCTAACATGATTATGGTCTGACCTCAGTGATGTCACAGAGGACAGAAGCAGTAAGTGTCCCCACTAACATTACTCTAATGCTGGGTTCATCAATCATAATCTACCGGTTTACAAAGGGGGTGGGGTGCAGGGAGAAGCTTTCCACAGATGTGACTTCGTCGTCTTGCTGAGCTTTTTGATCCCAGCAGACCTGTGGTTGCCCTGAGAGCTAGAAACAGAAAGCATTCAGCCAATAAGTCAGGCATGTTAAATCAAGGAAGGAAACTGTAGTGTGAAAAGCCATGACAGAGTCAGTATAATAAGCATTCTGTAATTTGAAGATGTGATCTGCCATGATCCAAGATTAACTATGGTAATACTTTCATTATTAAGTACACGCATTGTAACACATTACTATCTATAGTGCTATGTGGAACCTGGAAGCTAAATATTGCTTTCAGATTCAGAAACTTTCTTCTAGCTTGTTTGCTTGAAAATAGAAGGTTTTCAGATAAACCAGTATATTACATGTGCTCAACAGCTGGTGGCTGCGTTCATTAATCCCCCCTCCGCTTTGCCTCTCATACAGATGTTTGTTTGTATATCAAAAGGGCATAGGAATGCTGTTTCATTTAAGGCAAGTATTGCAGGAAGGCAGGAAATCTGAACATTACATCCGCATCATAGACATTATATGAGCCAAGCTGACTTGTACCAGGGGTCAGACTAGATGGTCAGGAGGCCCCTTCTGTCCTGCTGTGTTTCTAGAATTCTGTTAGTACGTGCTGCCATAGGTCTCAGTGGGACAAGAAAACCTTGAACTGCTGCTCAGAAAAGTACCAGACAAATGAAGAATTACCTTCCTAAGCAAATCTGAATAAAGTACATCAATATGTGGAAGAAGCATATGATATCATTGTTTTAAAAATGGAGTAGAAAGACTAAATACATCGATTTAATATTGATGTGTTTATATTGCTCTGGCAATTGCTGGTTTCAAATGTAGCAGAAGAATAAACCTCATCATGGATGACAAGTTTCAAGCTATTAGATCAACATATATCTTTTTATAAACGAGAGAAGTTTGAGACTCAGGCTCACATGTCATGTTAAGCCATCCTGCAAATAAGCTAAGGTAGATTGCTTGTTCACTGAACAACCCATGGTATACCCAAAAGCTCATCAGGCTTGTCATGGCTTGTTCTCCCCTCTGAGGGCTCCAGCTGACTCTGGCATGTATCCCAGGCATGTTTTGCAGCAGAACCCATCCTGGCTCCATACCTCAGGCCTCCTCCTACTCCCCTTGCTACCCTTTGTCATTCACCACCTTTAATCTCTCTCTCTCTCTCTCTCTCTCTCTCTCTCTCTCTCTCTCTCTCTTGGCAGGACGGGGTGCTTCAGAAGTGTACAAATGTGCCCTATGAAAAATTCCCATTATTTTTTAGGTGCACAAAAGCACATTTTTGTCTGCCTAATATGTGTAGCCTTCTTCGGCTATGTCATATTGCCACATAGGAGTGCTGAAGTGGAAAAGGTAACATAGATGGAAGGACAAGACTGCATGTAACTAAACTGTGCACAAGACCCAGTGGAGAAATGATGTTAAGAGAAAAAAGGGAACAGTATCATACTCCAGAAGCATAAAAACTGAGGGGGAAAGGCAATAATAGTAATATCCAAATATCTCCACCATGGCAATGTAATTTCCTTGCCTTTAAATGTTGAATTGTCACTTTTCAATGTGTCCTTTACATTCAACAGTTCTCTCAGTCCTCAGAAAGTCCAGAAAGGGGAGATACTTGCTGCCCGTATCTTTTTGCAGCTTCTTTTCAGAGAACTTGGTGCAGATATGAAATTTTCCCCTCCGTGTACTCCCCTGCCCTTAAATGTGAGCATATTTTCCTTCCATTTGCTTTCATAACTGAAAATTTGTTCAAATCCAGCAGTGAAAAGAAACTCTTAGAGGGTGGTTGAACTGGATGGAATAAATGAGTGCCCACACCAGCAGTATTTACAGCCCTGTGTGGGGAGATTTGTACTCATCCACTGAATCGCAGTATCTGCAGATGCATTTGCTCTGAAAAGGAGCTGCAAAAAGGGCAGGGGGATTAATAATTTTACAGACCACTCTAATATTGGAGAATCTGGAAAGTGTTGAAAAGGTAGAGGTCTCTGATAATGTCAGAGCTGAAGTGAGATGATTAGTTTGCCAAGAGGAGAATATTGACTCCATCCCCTTTGCACTTACTTCTCCCCCACTCCATTTTCATTGCTTCTGATCTGCACTACTGGATCTTTCCTTCTCTTACTATTATGTCTTTTTCAGTCTTTTGCAACTGTGTATAAGGCCTTTGTGTAGCCTCAGCTTGTCAGTTTCCTTATATGTTACCTACTTCACTTCAGGGTTCTCATTGACATCTCAAAGATATAAAGAAATTGAACAGGAAAGACTATATGGATTAGACAGGTTCTTTTGCATTTTCAAATAACTGGGGTGGAGGGATGATGATGATGATGATGATGATGATGATGATGATGATGATAATTTAAATATAAGCACATAATCCCAAAGGGTGGTGGTGGGGGAATGGTGGCAAACAAGTGATTATCCCTCCAGTATACCATTTGGCATCAGTGGAGGGTCAGTAAGTCATAAGAACATAAGAAAAGCTGGTCCCTGCAGTCCAACACTCTGTTTACACAGTAGCAAAGCAGCTGACTGCAGGATACCCCATGTAGAATAGGTACAAGACCTAGGCCTGCCCAAGTTCCCCAGCAGCATGCCACCTCTGATGATGCAGGTAGCACATAGCACATTGCTGGCTAGTAGTCATTGATAGGCATCTCCTTTGTCAATTTGCTTCATTCCTTTTGAAAACCATCCAAATTGGTGGCCATCACCTCTTCCATACACACTTTGTGGAGGAGTACTTCCCTTTATCTGTTTTGAATCTCCCACCTATTCGCTTCAAGAGGTGGCCTCGGATTCTAGTATTATGGGAGAAGGGGAAAAATGTCTCCACTTTCTCCTCATTCTAAATGCATCTGTCAAGTTGTAACTGTTCTTCATAAGAGATTTGCTCCAATTCCTTGATCATTTTAGTTGTACTCTCTGCACTTTTCCCAGCTCATGAATGTACTTTCCCAGGGTGCAGTGATCAGAACTGCACACAAAATTCCAAGTGCAGTCACACCAAAGATTTTTATAAGGCAGGTATGGTCTTGGCAGTTTTATCATCAATTATTATCATGAACCCAGTATGTTACAGATTGATTTTAAAGGTTTTTGTGGATTTTATATACATTGTCATCTTTTGCATATGGAATGAGATTTTTCATTTAAAACTAAATTTTACTACACGGATTAGGGAATAAGGAATGTAGAGGAATAAGGAGACTTTAACCTTTGTCCCTTGCTGTGGTCACAGTATGGCTCAGGGAACTGACACCTGCAATTTACATTGCCAAAAGTGATGCACCAGTAATATAAATTCCCAACTTGGGAGGCCCAATCCAGATTGGATGGCTGCAGCAGGTAGGTAAAGGATTTTGGTGCTGCAGAGTAGTTGTGAAGAAGTACAGTTTGTAAAATTGCATAACATTGTTACTGATTGGAGAACATGACTGTCAAGGCTTCAACCAGTTTCCTGTCTTTTTGGATTTTATAACTCCAAAGGTTTTTTGGGAGTGAATGAAAAAAGCACACCTCACAGAGGTTTTTTTCAGGCAAGACACTGGCAAATTTTTGAAGGAAAAGTGCTATAGTGAGGAGTTACAATGCCTGTAAACCAGTTGAAACTTTTTTCATAGTGAAACATGGTGAGATGTGATCATCCCCTAGAGTTGTCAGTCACCCATATCCACTTCCCTCTTGCCAGATTTAGCTTCAGTTTTGATTACTTTAAAAGTGAATGTAATTCTTCTTTGGAAACACCATAAATGGTCTGACAGAACCCCATTTGAATCAAGTTTCAGCAAAATCCAAATGCACATCGCTAATAGATAACTTTTCCTTTCACTAAACAGGACAAATATGTCCCTGTTGCCTTTGCTATATGTGTCAATAGCAGCCCATGCAATCAACCATCATATTCTCCCGGGCTGTTTGGCTAGTATGGAACTAGGGGAGAGGGGAACTATTTTATCGTGATCCTGGTTCAATTTGACTGAATGTTCCCATATTGATGTAGTGCAAGATTATTGAAAATGACCAGTGCATTTTCTCAGGGATCTATCTAGTTCCTTATTTTTAACAGCTACGTGGAACCACTTGAAGAACTGATCCAGGTGCCATGCCATCGACATGCTAGTGTCATAGAGCTCTCTATTTTTTTCAAGGAGGATATGGAATGTTTGGGTCCACTGATTGGTTAGATGAGGGCTAGTAAACAATAAGCTCAGTTTAGGCATGGTCAGTAGATGAGCTGCTCCAGGACTGAGTTATTAAGGTATTGGATGGTGTCCCTTTCTGATGTTTCTTCTACACATCACACCTGTGTTATATCAATCCAAACTATTTCAGGATCCATTTTAAGGTACTGTTCAAGCTGTTTTTACCTGTAAATGATCAGAGAATATCTGAAAAATGGCCCTTCTTCCCATTGTCTTTGGAGGCCCTGCTCCATATTCAGCTACCAAAGAAATGTGCATGGTGAGAATGTGGACAGGCATTTTCTCTGGAGCTCTTAAAGTGGAAAACTCTACACCCAAAGAAGTTAGACATTCCCCATTCTTGTTTGCTTGTTTGTTTGTTTTCACAGGCGTTAAAAACATTTTTATTTTTCCTGACTTTTAATTGTTTTTAATTATGAGAACACTTCTTGCTCCTTCTAGTCTCAACCTTATTTGTTTAAACTGGCCTCACTGTTTCTACCGCTTTAATGTTGTTGTTAAACCAGCCTGAAAGTCTTTCTCATTGTTGAAAGGTAGTCTAGAAATATTTTTATAAATAAATAACAGAACTAAGAAAATCTGTGTAAGACTGAAGCCATTCTACTCAATCCTGTATATGTTTACTTGGTAGCAAGTATGCCCATTGCACTCAGGTTGGCTTACCCTTACATAAGAGCGCATTAAACCAAAGTTTAACAGACCATTGCTAGACAGATGGAATTCCTGTTGATTTCAGGGGAACCTCTCTGGTAAATTGATCTAGAATTTCATTGTTAATTTTCCAGGATAGTATTTATTACAGGGTGCTATTTGAAGAGTGCACTGCTCTTAGCTTTTATGAGTAACATTATTTCAAAATAATTTTTAGGATAATTGCCAGATAGACTTCCCATGTTGACATACTGAAAGCTATTTTTTCACAGATAAGACAATTTTGCCATTGTAAATAATTTTCATCTGAAGCCTCAGTATGTTCATGTTCTATGTACAGAATAATTAATAAACTGTTGGAAAGATTGAAAAATGGCTGAGACAGGAATAAAACATTACAGTTCAAAATCTTTCTGTCCAGTGCCCACCTAAGTTCTCCTTTATGATATTCATAACCATATATATTGAAAGTGTTTAAAATTCTATATAAAAGTTTAAAGATTGCCTGTATAATAAATCAGTGCTTGGTTACATGCACATTTCTTTTTGAATCCCCTTTACAGTGCCAGTACGGAGCGCAAGATATGGAAAATTTTAATCTGCTACAGGAACAAAAGAATTATATTCTTATAGTTTGATCTACATCATAGTTAATCTCACACTAAGTTTTAAGATGATTTAAAACCCTGTATGACACAAGTGTCTGGTTTTGACAAATATTCTAATAGGTTAATATAGATTAAATGGGTTGTAAGGACATGGTTGTTGTTGCTTTTGAGAGATTAAATGGGAAGGTAAGAAGCTGTATTCCTCAACAGTATGTCTAGCATTATAAGCTTCCTTTGTTTTAAAGGTAGACAGGATAGAAAACTCTTAAGTAGATAGACAGAGAAATATCCAATATTTCTGAAATATATATAGAAATATACAATATTTGTGTATATATTTCAGAGCTATACTATTATTCTGTTATTTCCCTTTCTTTTTCATTTAGTTTGCATCTCCTAAAATAGCATGAGGACAATATTTTGACCCTTCTTTCTCCTAAAAGTGGTAACAAAAACCAAAGGGGAAATCAAGGAAACCAAATGAAAAGTGAAATATGAGAAATAAAACATTGTTCACCCTCTCAATTTCCTCCTTAGGCTCTAGAGAGTGAGTTTGTTTCCTGTCAGCTTCACCAGTGGATTGATCTCATCTTTGGCTACAAGCAGCGTGGACCAGAAGCTGTGCGGGCGCTTAATGTTTTCCACTACCTAACATACGAAGGTTCTGTTAACCTTGACAGTATCACTGATCCTGTGCTCAGGGAGGTAGGTCTTTCTGACTACTTTCTTCAACTGCTACTAAATTTAAATGCAAAAGGTCTTCATTCATATTAGGATCCTGCTCAATTACCAAAAGAAATCAACTATGGCAAAATACACACACAGCAAAAAGCCATTACTTTATATTAAATTATTGTTTTTTAATTATGATGTATAACTGAGGACTGGCCAAGCATCAAAATAACATGGGAATAGTTTTCTAAGACCAGTGGGAGAGTTGGAGTGGTTTTTCTCTCAGAGTAGACTCTGTCTTTTGTATGTGTGATAAAGATCTGTGCTAATTGGATTTGAATGAAATGCTGCAGCTTGTCACAGGTTATTTAACCCATGATGAGCCACAGTATCCATGGGCACCAAATTCCGATTGTTTGGAGAATGAAGGCTCTTGTTCATGAAACGGTTTGTCATGCAAACCCTGTGAGTGTAAGTTGCATGGAGGTTACATGTTCAGAATGAGGGTTGCATGCACACAACATGCTCCCCAGCTTCGCATTGGGTTAGATAACAATAGTTTATCCCATCACATGAACAATGAAGTCCTTGTACATGTTTATATTAACTTGCTGGTACATAATTTGGGGGCTGGAAACCTATGTGGAGGACATTTTGAGATGAGTAGGAATGGAAAGGGAGAACTTTAGGATCCTTTTCCAACTTGGATCTCAATCTGAGATGGAAAAGATTGAGTATTGAGGGGAGTGAGGTAAAATGCTCCCCAGTCATTTGAACAAACCTGAAGCCCCAAATTTATTTCTAAACTAGTATTACAAGTTGTTGTTTGGATGTTGGCCAGTGTGCTTTGTTATTTAGTAAGTGAAATTAACAGCATAATCCTAGGCATGTCTGCTCAGAAGTAAACATTACATTTAACATGGCATACTTGCAGTTGATTGCATAGCTAAGCCAATCCCATTTTACTTACTAGAGTAGTTATTGTCATATCCATAAAAAGCAAGCACCATATATTTATAAAGTTTATAAAATATATATGTGATTGTGTTGTTGTTAATAAATCAAGTTACAAGAAACTCTAAGGAACAAAACCATGGCTAAAAAACAGCGGGGGGCAGGGGGGAGAGAATTGGTTTTGTGTGTATCAGCATCTGAATGTTGCCTCTTATAGCACTGTTTTTAAGAGAATTTGATATACATAGGATTAATATTTGATGTATATGAATTCTTCTATGTTTAATCCCAATCTTGTAACTCATCATAGCAAAATACTTATTAAAATATGTCTGCTGTAAGTATTAGAGTAGTCTGAAAGTGATTCAGTGTAGTTGAAAAGTGTGAAGGTACAACAGCTGAAAGGTGCATGTTGTGGTAAAGGTAAATACATCAGCTGCCATGCCTCATTCATGGTAGCTCCCATCTGTTGTACACAAAACAAATAATAATTTATACATTGCCAATTAGTGGGATACTTGTGGCATTTTTGCTTAAATCCTGGAATCAGAAACATGTATAACTTGTGCCCAGAAAAATATTCTGAATTTTTTTAAAAAAATGACATTTGCAATTTTTACATGGGTCAGAATTCTCTAAGTCATACAATGTGTCATTAGACTCCTCTTGCATAGTAATACCAGAATTCATGAACCCCAACTAATTTCTTTCACATTTGGGGGAAATGTAGGAACAATATGTTTTGTCTGGAACAAGCCAGCTCATGCTTTGAAATTGGCTTGTTTTATATAAACCATCTTTAACATTGGTCAGAGTTTATCAGGTTCAAACAAAATGACAAACCAGAGTTAATCAAAAATGGCTATGTAAGAAGAGAGAAGGAAAGGAAAGGGGATGTACACATGTTCAAGACTCAGTTTGACTTGTTTTTGTCACGTTAAACTGTGGTTTATAATTACATTTGAACACAGCCTATGTCTACTTACATCTCTTCGTCAGCATCAATTATGTCATCCAATAATTACAAATATTATTATTTGTAGTGTGTTTGAACTCATAGGAAATGAACTTATTTTTTTTTCTTTAAAGCTCCTCTCCCTGCTAAAGAGGCAGGTTGCTGTTCAACTGAAACCAGCTTGCTTCTTTAGAAGATGGAATGTCCTGTCAAATTTTCAGTTTAATAATTATATACAGTGAATCACTGTATATGCATATGCATTTTAGTTATTTTATTTATATTTCTATGATCATTAAATGGATTTCTGTCTACATTTTTTTAAAAAATCCCTGCCTTTCCTGTCATTCCAGTTTGACATGCAGAAACAATGCTCTTTGTACATCTCATAATTTTTGTATATTTTGAATATCCCTAAATTCAATAATATTTTGGAAGACGTGGTACACCAAATCAGCTCTGCTAGCTATATGTTATTGCCCCATTTTACTTCTCCGTTAGGAGAGTGGTAGCTCTGACGAAGTATACCCTTCCCACCCATTCATTTCAAAGGAGGACCTTCCCTATAACTGTGCCCTCATATTTGACTACACACATGTTCCTGAGAGGACAGAATAATGTTGTGTTTGTTCATATTAGGACAGTCAGTATACCACAGATGCAGCATCCAGTCCAAACAGAATTACTTCTTAAGAAAATGGCATCATTAATTAATCTGCATATGTCTGAACTTTGTCCATAGCGTGAAGAAGACCCAAAAGCAATCTGGAAAGGTTGCAAGCTGTAGTTTTCGTCCCCTCTCCCAGAAAAAAACCCAATAAATTTAGAAAGTAAAAGCTCAGATGTAATGAACAGCTCAAGGATATTGATTCATTCCTCCTTGACAGGTGAAATCATGGTTGCAGCACTAACCATAGCAATTATTGCATTAAAATGTCAAGAAATTAGAGGTCAGAATAAGAGATAATTTTCCTCCTTGTGTCAGATTAAAAATTGACATTCTTTGACAGCACGAGATCTCTAGCTGAGAAAATTATGACAGCTTAACTCATCTTGCACTTGTAAAGCAGTAATTGATAATGAACTTTACCATGACAGCCTTCTCCTGTGGAGAAACATGACAGAACATCCCTGGTACAAAGCCTGTATCTCTTTTTAATATGTAAACAGCAGTTATATTGGACAATAGATGTTATTTGGAATTGTCTTTATTGTTGGTGTACATCATAATCCAAAGCAATTCTTCTAGACTAGTTCAACTGTCTTCAGGGGGCTTATATTAAGAATGCTAATTCAAAAAACAAAGGCATTTCGCACAAATATTTTCTATCTGTATTCTTATTACTTTATTTGATTGTAGATACAACCATCTGTTGTTGTAGTTGTTGCTGTTGTTTACTACGAGACAGCTTTTGTAATACTTTTATTTCTTTCAGGAATTTTGTACAAACCCATATATAGTGGTGTGCCTGTACAAAACTGTCCAGAAAGTCTGTAGCTATTTAAACATGTTTGGTTTGAAGGTTAAATTTCTAGGTGTTCAAATTATTTAGATTGTCTTGTAAATTATAACATACATGGCACATTAAAAGGGCTTAGATTGCCTAGTTTACTAGATAGCTGTTTTATAAAATTCAATTTTTACAGAATAGAATCCAAGAAACTGGATCCTATTTGCAAAGCTTATACCTACTCCTAACATACATAAATTTATTCTAATGTTTTTGTTTTTCATTCAGTCTAGGGAAAAAAAACTGGCATGACACTGTTTACACAACACTAATTTAACACAGTGATGTCAATATATCAGTAATGCTTTATTACTCCTGCTCAACTTAAAATTAAAGCAGCTAAAAGGCAATTCTTGGTTTGATGCCCCAAATGTAATTATATTTGTCAGATGCACCATTAAAAACAGATTTTTTTGTGTATGCTTACATGAAGTTAGTATTTCAAGTTTATTTACCTATTCTTGCTTCAATATTTGCCAAACCCTCATCTGTGTTTGTTAGATGCAGTCTGTGTATCCTTAGCAATGTTTTTAAAAGCTAGTGAAGGATCATATTATACAATATATCTTGATATATGTCTTGTATGCTGTCCTATTTATAATAAGTTCTACATAGAAGAAATTTGTGCTGTACAGTTTCAAATTATAGGGCTATGTAGGCTCAATGAAAGATAGCTCTTGATTTTTTTAAGCCAAAGGTGTGAGTTTATACAATCTAGGAACTAAAAAGTACATGATACAATTCAGCAGGAAATTCTCCTGCTTAAATGTGCTTGTATATGAAATAGATCCTGTGCTTAGTATTTGCGCTGTTTTTCAAACATTTTCCTGTCAAAAGACTTGATTCCATTAGGAACATGGCCAGTTGTGGGGAAAAAAAAATCAGTAAATTAATAGCAATTTGATATTTGGTTTTCATGAGAATCCCCTAAACCTTTAACACTGGCTCTGCTGTCAGCAAGCAGAACACATAGCTTGTACAATATTAATCTATTTGCAAGGTGTTTGGTATCTCACTTATTTAAATTATTTTAAGTAGCATCATAATGTTTTGGTCTTGAAGCTTTTTCAGCTGTCCTCATTTCTGGATTATAGTTTTCATCTTTTATTTACTTCTCTTATCTCTTTCTTTGATCTGACAGGAATAACAAATCATCCCTCAGGATCAGCAATTGTGAAATATGCCCACAGGAAGCATAGTTTTTACTTTTCCTTCTCCTTGCTGAAAAACTCTATGCTGTTACAGAAGGTTGACATGATAGGGCTGTCAAGACCCAACAAGATAGATATATCTAAACAAAATAGATGGAATGGTAACCTTTTATAGTGGCTACCAGGGCCTAGAAAATATATGTGGAAAAGACCAACACTCATTCATAACAATCAGTATAAGTATTTCAAAAAAATATAAGCATTTCAACTGCATTTATTACATTATACATTTTTGTATCATGTTATTAGATTTTGTTTTCTTCTGTGATCATTTTCATCTGCGATGAATATCAACATTCATTGATAGTCATTCTATCTCAATTGAATTGTATCTGTAGAACTGATCACTCAGTCTTCACTGTTGCTTTCACAAACTCTGGCCTCCTTTCAAGAGTAGCTTTC